TTTTCGCCTTCACATTTTCAATGGTGTCAGAGGCCTCTACTTCCAAAGTAATGGTCTTTCCTGTAAGAGTCTTAACAAAAATTTGCATTCCTCCACGGAGGCGAAGCACAAGGTGAAGAGTGGATTCCTTCTGAATATTATAGTCCGACAGTGTACGTCCGTCTTCAAGCTGCTTTCCGGCAAAAATCAATCTCTGCTGGTCTGGTGGGATTCCTTCTTTATCCTGAATTTTCGCCTTTACATTTTCTATGGTGTCAGAGGCCTCTACTTCCAAAGTAATAGTCTTTCCTGTAAGAGTCTTAACAAAAATTTGCATTCCACCACGGAGGCGAAGGACAAGGTGAAGAGTGGATTCCTTCTGAATGTTGTAATCGGACAACGTGCGTCCGTCTTCAAGCTGCTTTCCGGCAAAAATCAGCCTCTGCTGGTCTGGAGGGATTCCTTCTTTATCCTGAATTTTCGCCTTCACATTTTCAATGGTGTCAGAAGCCTCTACTTCCAAAGTAATAGTCTTTCCTGTCAGCGTTTTGACAAAAATTTGCATTCCTCCACGAAGGCGAAGCACAAGGTGAAGAGTGGATTCCTTCTGAATGTTGTAATCGGACAATGTACGTCCATCTTCAAGCTGCTTTCCAGCAAAAATCAATCTCTGCTGGTCTGGAGGGATTCCCTCTTTATCCTGAATTTTCGCCTTCACATTTTCAATGGTGTCAGAAGCCTCTACTTCCAAAGTAATGGTCTTTCCTGTCAGCGTCTTGACAAAAATTTGCATTCCTCCACGAAGGCGAAGCACAAGGTGAAGAGTGGATTCCTTCTGAATATTATAATCGGACAACGTACGTCCGTCTTCAAGCTGCTTTCCGGCAAAAATCAACCTCTGCTGGTCTGGTGGAATTCCTTCCTTATCTTGAATTTTCGCCTTTACATTTTCAATTGTATCTGATGCCTCAACCTCAAGGGTTATTGTTTTACCAGTCAATGTCTTAACGAAAATCTGCATGTTTATCTACGAAGAAATTATAAAAGTAATTAGTATAAGAATAATCTTCTCGGCGACATGATTTGCATAATATTAAAATGTTGGAATGTTGTGAATCTTTTCAACTAAATTGTCAATATTATTACGACTTTCATGGAAATAAGCATCTACGTATTTTATTCAACAATAGAAATCAGTATGGAGAGCTCAATATGCGAGTATGAAGTCATGACTATTTGATGAATCAATAACCGCCATCTTGTGTTCCGTTATGACGCAGCAGAATTGTAATTGATTTTTCGAAATTGTTCTAGGCTTTTGCAAAAAAAAACCTTTTTTCAACGGGATGGTTGTGATTACATTATTATACCTAAATTTACTTTAACTAGAAATTTATTTATGCTTTTAGATATCGACACCAAGATCAACCTTACATCTACGTTTGACACGATTAAAACCAAGCTAATTGTTTCAGACTGTATGTGCTGTTTCTTTTTCTACAATTTCATCCGTGAAAATATGTAAATTTTTTATAATTATAATTTATTACATATACAGAAGGTCAGGTAAAAATTATCCAATGTTTTAGTCACTACATTAATAAGCAATAGCTTTGATAGTAACAAAATAGTTATGTAAAAGCTCTTACCTTTTGTAGAAATACTTTGTAAAGTAGCAAAAATTTGCTTTAAACTTCAATAATTCTTTCTCCTTCGAAAACCGTTGAACTGACTCGTAGAACTGAACGGAAACCGAACGGACAATCCTTTTATGTGACGAACAAAATGTTGTACTGATCATGCGCAGGAGCGTCATAAGATTTCCACAAAGATGCTTATTGGACTATATTTTCTGCTGTCAGTGACCATATGACGTTATTACATCTGATTGGTTTTCAACACAAAGAATATACTAATCGTTCTTCATTTCACAAATTTCATTATATATCATTATTTATTAAAATTTCTTGTAATATATTGTCGATCTTAAAATATGATGTATTTTATCCAACAGAAAATTTTATTTTTGTTATTCGTTTTGCTGTACATGCCAAATTTTAATAGATATAGATGGCGCACACAAATCTTAAGTTATTGAACAAAAGAAAGCGATGATTCATTGTTTTTCGTAATGATATTCTTTCTAGAACGATAAATTTATGATTTCTATTTTCTTTACATTTAATATAAGAATTATTTAATACAATAATGACAAAATTTAAATTTTACATTGTTTTAACGTAATATAGGTTATGTCAAAGATAATAAATCAAAATGAAATCCTTATAAATTTAGATTTTCATTTAAATAGATGAAACAAAAGAAAACAAATAAACAACCTTTATGAAATTACTTTTCAATGACTAAGCTTTATAAAACTATATGAAAAAATATTTATTGAATACTAATTATAACTATATAACATCTTTAGTCATATTACATTACATTGTAATGTGACACTGATGTAATTATATGAAAACTGATGAAATTCTTTAAAAAAATAAATCTCTAATAAATTTATTAGCAATTTGTTCTATAAAAATGTAAACAGTTAAATATTCAAAGCTACTATGAGAATTTTATTTGGTAAGAGATACTGCAAACGATTTAGCAGAAAACAAATGTCTTTCTAGAATAATCTTCGAAAAATTACTTACATCACTTACCCATCACTTATAAATAAAGATGAACAATGTGCCGCTGCTGCGTAAATATGTATATATTATTTTGTGCGAAACTTGATGTTTTGAAAGAAAATTAAAATAATTAGGTCAATTACAATTGTCAGCAATTAAATTCTTTTTATGTGATTACTTTTTATGAAATACATAGCAAGTTCGGAAACATGCATTCACTTATGATAATCTATGTACATTTTTAACCTTTAAATTTTCATTTTTAACATCGAAATAATCAACTTTAGTCAACTGCACAATTATATAATTTGTCAGTTTTCATAATGAATTGTTAGTATAAATGAAAATATAAAATGAAAACTCGCAGACTTCATAGACCATTTTTTGAAAATTTACTGTACTAAAACCTAGAAACTGAATTAACAGTTTTTGATCAAATTTAAAATCTTCAGTAACGCAAACAATTTCATTACATGTAACAAATTGGATGTTAGAAATAAGTAAAATGGCACGGAAATGTTATGTTGCACTTTTATGTGTGTGTGTATGTATATACATATGGGATCATTTTAACGGAATAATCAGCTTACTTTCACTATATGCTGTTCAGTTCTTAATACTGAGCAAATAATATATATATGATATTTAAATTGAAAATTCCTCAAGGCTCTACACACATTTATTTTTGCAGGTTACAAGGATTAAGCAAAGTAAGTTTGCGAATTTTCTTTGTAAAACACCTGCAAGCATACAGCATACTGTTACATTAACATTTGGTTGAAATGACAATAAATTAAGAATATAATATGTCATGTAGCTCAAGTATGTACAAATACATTTTCATTAATACTGTAAAATAGGAAACAAAAGGTGGCTACTGTTTTACTTTATATTGATTTTTAAGCGTGTATCAATTTAAAATAAAAAAAGAATTAAGATAATCGTACTCTCTCTAAGAAGTACAAGATTATGAGAAAAATGATAGGATTAAATCAGTAAACATTTGTATTAAACAGACTAGTTGCACCAAACAGAATCAGTTATGTCACATGATGTTGTGTTCATAGTTCAAATATAAATTAAATCTTGATTAATTCTGCGCACTATCTTCTAATATGTTTATTTAAAAATTAATACAATATCAGTCTCAGTTCTGCTCGGTGCCATCCAAAAATAAAGTAACTTCTTTTGTATGTTTAGTGTTCGTTATGTAAAAAATTACCTAATAACCATAATCATACAATCTGAGTGCTATTGTGTGTGTGGCCTTCATGCTATGAGGATTTCTCGTATTAGACCGATTTGTTGTAAAAAAAAGAGAGAAAAAAGAAAAATCGCTTATACTAGATACGTAAAGGAATATGGTAGTGAAAAAAATACTTATATTTATCGCATGCATGTTCGATTTATTCAAAGAGGATTTGCATGTGTACAACAGAAGATCCATACACTGTGTCAGAACTTTATTTTAATACCAACATTTTGAAGTATTATTTAACTTCCTGTGAGGTTTTTTTAAACAAAACTGCAGCAAATATTAGGAATTCTTGACACGTGCACTTAACCCTCATTGGACAGCAAAGCGTCTATTTCAATAATCGACTTGCAACTCTGCTTTCTTGGAATCTTCTGCATGAATTAATATTCGCGATGTGAACGTACGACTTATCTGGTGCAGAAATCGATCTGCACATTTTTACGACTACACACACAACATACACACGAATTCTCAATACAAACTAACCTACGCTTAACTTCAAAACTTATAAATGTTCTTCTTTTACCACCTTTTCTATTAAACTCCTTCATCATATATTGTGACTTTGAAATATAGCTAAATAAGTAATTCAAACTAATTAACGCATTCATCATTTTCTTTGACAAAATTCTAGTGCTGGAACTAATCGTACCAATTGCCTGTTTGGGAAAGGTCTTAAATCGTCATGAAAGAATCTTACACACTAACATAATTGCAAAAATGTTTTCCTTATAAATTCTAAAAACAACACATTCACGTGTTGTAGTTAACATTGAAATATTTTTTAAAATAAACCTGAAATGAATTAAGTTTGGAGAAACGATATATTCGAAACTCGTACATTAGACTTAAGATACTTGCAAAAATGCAAGCAATATATCATTTTCCTCCTTCAAATCTTGGACTTAACGCTAGTAGGAAGGTGATGAATTCATAACGTTATCGCACGTTTAAGATAAAATCAAGGTATTATAATGGTATAATTGGTTTAATCGTTCCTTTTGGCCATTAAAATTATGGGATTGTAAATTAAAACGATGCCATTAGTTGTCTAAAGAAATACCTACGTTCGAAAAAATTATCGAAATATAATAATAGGTCATTAGTTTTGATCTCAACCTTGACATCTTCCCAATATAGACAAATTTCATTGAACAAGCAATTGACACGAGGAAAATTTGTTTCTTATGCTATATAAGTTATGAGTAAATCAATAAAGCGAATATTTTGGTAGATCTATTTGGAGTCTGTCTCCATTTTGATCTCCTCTGCTTTTTTATCTTTTTTTGAAGCCTCACTGTCCGTTCCTTCTCCATTACTATTGTCGCGTCTTCGCTTTCTGGCAAATCGGCCTTTATATTTAGGTGGAGGAAGCTGTTCCATACCAAGAACCTTATGAATCTGACGGAACGCGACTAATCGCAAAGCATGTTGCGCTGAAGCAGTTATATCTTCTCTTTGTTGGGCTGTCATATTACCAATTGCATCGACTGGTTCCTTCTCACATGGATCAGATAATCCTATACAGACAAATACCGTAAATTAACGTTACATTTTTTATTAGCTATATACAATTTGTAATATATAAAGTAAAAAATCAGGTTGCCAGATCATCTACGTTGTATCGTGAAATATTACACAGTGAAAGAAAAATTGAAGTACTCAATTTTAAAATCAACAATGAAATCCACGATACACTCAGTCTCGTCATCTGTATCATCATTTTTGTTTCAGTATTTCGCTTTGAAGAAATTGAATCGTTTCATTAATTACCGTAATGCTATAGAAAAATACCTGGACTTCCTGGAAGCAATATTCCTCCAGCTACACATTCCAAAAGTCTTCGTAGAGCTTCCCCTGGACTAAGAGGACCTCCTGCAGTGCTAATCACTTTCTCAGTCAACAGTTCCAATGCCTAAATAGTATTAAACAATTATGAAATTCCAACCACGAATATTACATTACTGACTTCAAAGCAGAAAAAATAAAAGGTAATTTAATTTTATATAGAAAAGTTAGACTATACTATATTCAAAATAAAAGTAAAACGTCAAAGGCAAAGAAGTAAACACATTATCAAAGTTGTTTCATACTCACCCATGGGTTTAGTGGTCCCCAAGTGGGTACACGGTTACAAAGATCACGCATTATGCGAATGACCATAACACAGCTCTGCAGCGAAGTAGCTCTAGCCTGTTAAATATGATTAATATTTTAGTATTCACAATGTAATATATACATAAAAGTCTCTGAATCTTCTGAAGATGCGACGCCCTAAACTACTTTTAATTTGCTTTGTGTGGGCTTTAGCTATCCTCCCAGCCTCGTGCCTATAACCCCTAAAGTATTAGCCCATATCAAAATTATCGGGTGTTTATTAATTATTTCCTGAATAATTAATACCTAACATAATATTTAAAAAAAACGTACAACGTATTGGAAAAAAATGTACACTCGAGGAAGTGCCAAATAGAAATCTTGAACTTATAATTGGAAAAACACCCGATACACTTATGACACCACTGTGTGTTTGTGCTTGTCTGTCTTGTAACATTCAACAGTGCTTACAACGCACATTGTGTAGAAGGCGAATCGAATAAGGTACATATTTATAAAATACAAGAACGCTAATGTTAAGAACTTCTAAGACAGACCTAGAACAGACTCAGTCTAGGCTACAATGCATTAAGATTAAATCCAGAATAATCAATAAGCTTATTCACAAGCATCGCAAAGCAGTTCAGTGCATTATAAACAAAATAAACAAAACTACATTCTTTGAAGAGAAATTACATAGTTTGAAATGATTTTTCGTAAACGGTTTCCTATTATTCTGGATGTTGATGATTGGAAGTAAAGCGAATGTAAGTTTTCAGTGTGCATCAATATCTCAATTGCTACAGTTCACACTTACATACTGCTTAAACTTCTTGTCTGAGACTACCTGATAGCACGTTGAATGTTTCTGCTTCTCAAATCGTATCGCATATACATACATTTTTTTTCTAAATTCAATTGCCAATAACCAAATATTGCCACTGTCACCCGTACATAGAGGAACACATGATAATAAACCATTGTATGTAACCTAATAATACATCTTTTCATAAAAAACAATCAGTGGACAAATTGGATTGGCAGATATGGAAAATGCAAACATCGAACGTGATCAAATAAATGTTTCAGACAAAATCATATCAACAAGAAGATCAGATAATAAAAATAAATCTGTCACAAGGCTGGAAGTTCTAAGACTGCTCTTTTTGGCGGACAGAGAGAGAGGACAACTTGCACGCGTTTCGCGTTATTTAGGAAAAAATAACATAAAACAATCGTTTGGTGCCAACAAAAAAGGCACCGACAATTTGAGATCTTGAACTGAGGAGTTGATTGATTCAAACCTGAAACCACTTGGCATGCCTGAGTGCAGCTAAAGCCTCCAAACACTTAGCCTTGGGAAGTACATCTGGTGGATCTGGTTTCGTCACAGCGGGCGCCGCGGGCGTTGTTTGCGGTTGAGCAGCTCCCTGTTGCTGCTGTCCAGCATTATCTGAGATTCCAACAAAGAAAGCACAACACGCTTAGACAACACTTAGAGTGTTTGATCATGCCCAATTTGGGTTCTTCCCTCTATAATTATATACTTCATCTTAAGCACATTAAGACTCGAGGGCTATAGCCTAAACATTCTCATCGAACCAAAAATAAACCTAATCGAATGTAGTACGCGACAATGGTGAGTTATTTCCATTTCTGTACATCCTTTTCAACATTGTACATGTTTGAATAGAACGACCGACAGTTCTCAGTCAAATTGACAACGTTACTCAAAATCGAATATGAAAAGTAACGTTATCAAAAGAATCGTCGGTTAGAATGTGGAATTTACTGCGCATTGTACAATATACATACAACATTCGATGATAGAGGGTTTTTTATTTTTAGTTTAATCAATGCATGATCAAAAAGTCCATAGTTTTAAGATTGCCTCAGCGTTGTTTCCTCATACCAAAAGCGTGTCCACGTTCATTGTTAGCATACTCTTCTTTACTGGAGACTCCAGCTCAGCTTATTCGTTAGGAAAACTTATAGAAATGTGTCATTACATAAACAGTAACTTAAACTGAAGAAAAACGTCTTAATCGTATCAAGTTTACGCTCTCTCTTTTCCGTTAAAATTTGAATACTTCTTACGATACTTTTATGTACGCTCTTACATGGTATACTATTTCTGTTATGTTTGGTATTTTATAAAAGTATTAAGTATAATCAATCGTGGACACACCAAATTGCAGCTGTATTAGAAAGGAAAGGAATTTTGTATGTTAGAGCGTATATACACTGGCAACCGTTGAAGTCCGTGGCTGCCCCTGCATCTTCCTGGCGCTTAAAAAATTTACAAAAAAGCTTTCGGGCCATGAAAAGAACAAACGAAATTCAGAAACCACGTGATCGAGAAAAGAGCATGAAAATAAAGGACGTTTTTTTCTGCAAAATTGCTAAACTTATTATAGTTATCCTTTTCTTGGCCACCGTGAAAATATAAAACGATCAAATTACCTGCAGCAACAGCTGGTTTGGGAGTTTCACGCATTAAAGGACTGGTGAGTGTTACGCTGACAGTCACGCTCCCTCCAGAAACGGTTAAAGCAGCTGATTCCGGATGCTTTCCAACATTGTAAGTATCATCTGGAGCTACAATCTTCAATTGAGCCGGAAGAATTTCAGCAACTTTAATCAATAACGTCCTATAAAGAAGGAAACGTAAATGAAGATATATGCATATACATAGATGATGATTTAATATGTTACTGTAACTAACCGTGTTGGTTTCTCTGCGCACAGAACTACAAGACAAACATGGTTATCACCAGACAAAAGGAGTCCCTTTGCCAAATTGCCGACACGCATAACACCCCGAAGTATTCTTGAATCTTCTTTTTCTTTTTGAAACGAAAATAAATTGCCATCACTCCCATCTTCTTTTTGAGGAGTTGTAGATTTTTTCTTATCTGACTCTTCCTTTATTTTTACTGTATCTGCATTTGGTTGTTGTTGTTGCTGTTGCTGAACGGGCGTAGTTGCAGTTGTTGGTGCAGCATTCGTGGCGACTGGAGTTGCAGTCTTTTTACCTGTAATTAACAACATTTTCAGCCAGTTTTCAATAGAAAAAACAATAAAATCAATTCAAAGGAATGCAAGTAATTACCGGCTTCTGCCAAAGTATCAGACACGAACTTTAATGCTTTCTCAGTGTCTGATACTATTTTCTGAACTGCCAGCAGTTCTTGTTCTTTCGGATAAATGTTTGTATGATGAGCTAACACATGTTTGTCGTCGGACGAATCTGGCCTTCTCTGAGGACCAGGGAACATCATCATTGGAGGTGGACCTGGGAAAGGACGTGGCATTGGAGGAGCTCCTGGTCCACGTCCATAACGTCGATACCATTCATAATACTCGCATTCTTCTTCATATCGTCGACGTTCCTCCCAATACATCATTTCTTCGTCCATCATTGGGCCCATTGGTCCCAACTGATTAATTTCCTCTCTGCGCCGCAAATATTCATCTCGCATTTGTTGTCTGCGCAATTTTTCTTCTAGTAGTTTCCTTTGCTTTAGACTTGGTTTCATATCGACAACTAGATCCGGATTAACCTTCTTCTTATAAGCAAATCTATGTCGTCTTCCCTTCATGTGCATGTCTTTGGCATTAGGATCATTAAATCTGCATTCACAAAGCTTGCAATTGAAACTTATAATCTTTCCATCTTCAGATTTATTCTCTTCTATATATTCTTGACCAACTGGTTGTATATCTTTCTCATCAACAGCTGTTTCCTCTACAGTCTCTTCTGCTGCAGCTTCTTCTGCTTTAATCTCTGTAGTTTGATTTTGATTTACAGTACCCAAATTTCCAGCTGTAAGAATGTATACCATTTTTATAAAAGTTATGTTAACGGGTTTAAGCATTTCACATAAATTTGAATGTTAAGTACATCCGAACATTACATTTTACATAAAAACGAAAAATACTTACAAGCAACGAAATTAATTTTGGGAGTAGCTGTTATTGTAGGCTTTTTAGTCCCAGCAGTTTTAGCAGTAGCTGCAGGTTTTGGATTCAAAACAGTTGGATCAGCGCTTGGTATTGGCTTTCCAAGTTTAGTGTGTAGTTTGACAACTTTTTGATGTTTGGCACCTCTGATATGAGCAGCGTACGCATCATTTCCAGTACAAGTGACATCGCAAAGCTCACATCGTAGACTGTTTCCTGCTCCACGCGCTGGTGGTTGTTGTGGTACCTTCAGAGAAGCCTCCTTCTTCTTATGTTTCTGTCCCTCCAAATGTTCACGATATGTCTGAGGTCCAGCACAGCTGATTTTACAGACATCGCAATAGTGAAGCTGTTGAGGTTTGGGGGGCTGCTTGGGCCGCATTGCCTTCATCCCTCCCCCTGCAGCGCCAAATCCTTTCCGCGTGTAGCCCTGCCAACCTCCAGTCTTCTGGTTAGTTGAATTGCTGTTTGCACTCTGTTGGGCTACATACATAGTCGCAGCGCTATATAGCGCTGCGTCGTAGCCGGAATACGTTGTACTCGCCGTTTCTAAGGGAAATGAAATTGAAACCTCAAACTTTGGAGGAGTCAATTCTTTGTATTCATGGAGCAATTCTAATAATTTATACTCATTGATGCAAGTACTTTATATTTTCATTGAAATATTTGGAAAGTATAGTATACACTATTCCGAAATCTCTACATAATATTAAATTTATGTTCACTTTTCAACTCGCAAACACATTTAACTCTGCTAAACTTCCAAACCAGATTACAATTTGGAATATTAGTAGAATTTTGTATAATGTTTGCGAATATAAATTTTAATAGCCAGAGGATCAATTTCATGTTATTAGTGCCTACATCACGGTTAACAGGACATTTACATAGGATTTTAAATTTTGGCGAAAAACATTAACATATAATAATTCAACCACATACAATGGAAACTTACTATTCGTTGCTGTTGATGGCGTAGCAGCAGGAGTAGCTGGAGCTGTGTATCCTGAAGAGTATGTTGCACTCTGTGTTGGATTAGACTGCTGATACGCAGTACTTGATGCTTGGTACGTTTTAGCTTGTCCCGTAGTAGTAGCTTGTCTCGCTGTGCCTGTGTAAGCACTGGTTGTACTATATGCAGGTTTTGCAGCCTGATAATGTGTCTCTGTTGTAGTATAAGTAGCAGCAGCTGCTGCCGGTTGCTGATAATATGTCTTAGTAGCGTCGTATGTAGCTGCAGGTGCAGCACGTCCGTAACCGTAATCGTATGTTTGAGCCACAGTACCAGGATTAGCAGCTGTAAAAACAGACAAAAACCAAATGCAATGCATCGAGTGAGTTCAAATAAGCTCTCACATAGAGACTTCAGTGAACTATGTTAATGCTCAAGAATACTTGAGGTGTAGGGAAAAGAAAAAGCATTTTACCAGCGTAAGTGGTCCCAGTAGCGGCTGCAGCGGCGGCCGCTTGATAAGTTTCGTAACCTGTAGCCGCGGCAGCAGCGGGTCGTTGAGTGTACGTGGCGGCGGTTGCCGCTGGAGTTACTGCGTATCCCGCTTGGCCAGTTTGATAAGCGGCTGCGCTGGTCGCTCTATTTGAAAGAATAAATAGATTTTGTTACGCACGAGATATAAAATGAGAAATGGAAACGGGCAAAACGAAAAAGACCTCTATCGGATCCGTGCCCGGGAGAGACGCTCGATGGACGCTCTAACTCTCAGCAAAAAATGGCGGCCAAGCCGGCTGGGCTCTCGCGTGCACCGATTTTAACGAACAGTTATTACTCCCGCCAACGTAGTTACCGTCGCGATTTTTTGATAAACTTAACACTAGCTACTTAATAATTATGGTATGCAATCGATTTCGTACCCATATTGCGTTCCGCCGTGAGTAAACCCAAAATAATTGTTCTGAGCCATCCTTCCTCGCAGAGAATCCCGGAAAGAAGGACAATGGAGGAAGTTGTAGGGCGTGCCACGAACTCGATAGAATGGCGGCGCTGCCGCGGCTCCTATTGGTTATTCTGTTGGAGCCGGGCGCAACAATTGCAAGAATGCCGCGCCCTCAGTGGCCGCTTCCACGAGAACCCTGCGTCGTCCTCCGACAAACTACCTCCGCGCAAATCAACGCGCTACCGTACTAGCCAGAGAACTACCGCGAGAAAGTATTCACGAAGCGGACAAGTGTATACGGTTAATTGGAACTTAACTTACTGCGTGTTTCTCGTTATCTCCACTTTCCGATGTAGTATGTAGTTTGCGAAATTTTCGCGGCTGGTGCGTGTTGTGAGGTACGTCCGGCGTGCGCAAGGAAGGGCTAGTTTGCCGGCGACGCGTGCGTTTAACGAATTTTTTCGACGCCCCCTAGCAGCAACTACTTCTATTATATCATTGGAATTGAAGCGCACTCTAGTAGGATTTACTACCGATTGTAATGGACTTCTTTTCGACTTGCACAACAGATTTCACTGTAACAATCTTCAGTAATACATTAGTATACAATTGCGGTATTATTTTATTATTTTGATTCAGTAACACCATTCAGCATGCCACCACAATTAGCGACGAAGAAGCATGCTAAATATTTTCAAAGGTTACTGCAAATCGTGCCTAATCGTTTGGCAGATCAAGATTATTCTAGGCTTGTTATAGCTTTTTTTGCTATATCAGGGCTAGACATATTAAATTGCTTAAATGATCTTAGCGAAGAAACTAAATCCGAAGCAATTGAGTGGATCTACAGACTACAAGTTACTGGTGCTGGACCACGTTCTGGTTTCCAACCATCTACAACGATACCAAAGGATGTTCCAAAATATCAGTACGGTCATTTATTAATGACATACCTTGGATTGGTTACTCTTATAATTCTTGGAGATGATTTAAGCAGAGTGGACAAAAAGTCTATTATCGAAGGAGTAAGAGCTTGTCAGAATCCGAATGGATCTTTCGTAGCCTTCATAACGGAAAGTAAAAATGAAAATGAAAGTGATATGAGATTTCTTTATTGTGCTTGTTGTATATCTAGTATTTTAAAAGATTGGTCAGGAGTCGACAAAGAGAAAACTATTGACTACATTTTAAATAGTATTGTAAGTTTTTGCCTTTGTTTACTTTCAATTTGCTTATTAAGAGAATTAACAAAAACTGGCTTTGTTTACTTAATTTTATCATAGCACAATATCTCAACAATAATTATAGTCATATGATGGAGCTATGGGACAAGGACCTGGTCTTGAATCACATGGAGGATCTACATTCTGTGCTGTAGCTAGTCTAATTCTTATGAATGAACTTCATAATGTCCTGACAAACGATCAATTAAATAGACTGAGAAGATGGTGTCTTATGAAACAAGACAGTGGCTTTCATGGACGGCCTGGAAAACCATCCGATACCTGCTACAGTTTTTGGATTGGCGCAACCCTACAAATGCTTGATGTTAACAAGTTTTCAGATCCTGAAGAAAATAGAACATTTGTTCTAAGTACTCAAGATAACATCACTGGTGGATTAGCAAAATATACTGATAGTTATCCTGATCCCCTTCATACATATTTCGGTACCTAAACATTATAATTATTCTAAGATAAACTTCTTAAATAGGAAAACAAATATATATTTAATTTTTGTTCCTTAGGTATATGCAGTTTAAGCCTTCTGGGAGAAAGTGGTTTATGTATATTAAATGCTGCATTTAATATTTCTGATAGAGCATATAAACACTTATTAAAACTTCACGAAATATGGTAATGTTATTAACTTTTACATAAAGTACTTGCAACAATTAAATACCATATCAAGCGCACAGAATTAATACATGGGAAAAAAGCAACAGTTCTGCAGTTTGTCATGAATATTGTTTGTGTAGTTCTTAAAGATTCTCTGTGCTGAGAATCATTGTTGTAAAAGTATAAATTAAGAAAAATATTATGATTTTGTAATATGTAATTAATGTTATCATTTCAAACAAGATAGTTATTAAAAGTATATAAAGCACATGCAAGAAATGAAAAGACAAATAGCAGCATAATTGAAACACAATCAAGTGTCATTATATACGAATTTTAAAAATTATAATAAAATTATGAAAAATATATTTTGAGTGTTTGTAATTATCATCCTTTTATAGAAGAATACATTATCTGTTTATGCTGTAATAAAATATAACAATCTTAGGGGTTAATATTTTTTAAGTTTTTTTTACAAATATTAGTTTCCTTATCGTTCTTCCTCTTTTACTCATTTATTAAGAATCCTATTTGTGATTCTAACGTAACAATGCTCAAGTGGAACGAAACATCAATAAATAGACTTAGGAAAAAGATTTTTATTTTTGATATTATGACACTGTAATATGAAAAAAATAATACATTCAGTGTGGAAAAAATCATATAAAAGAGTTAAGAAACTCAATTTTTTATTTATACTTTCACTTATTGCATGATTTTCTTTCGTACTAAGCTTATAAATATGTCACTTTGTATGATTTTGGCATTGCTAAACAATAGAATAAATTATATTCGTTAATCAGTATTAATGGGCCTGGTATAAAGGGAATGATAAAGATATATTAAACAAACGTAAGTTTTATTTGATAAGAATGTCCTTTTTATTTTGATCTTCTCTTAATTAAAAGTGCAAAAATCGAATGTCTGAAAAAAAAGGAATTTACTATCGTCGAAATGAAAAGTTGCATGACCACACCGAATTCCTTTGAGTCTACAAATTCAACAACCTCACAACCGAGCGAATGCATACTGTTAGCGAAGTGACACTGCGAAGTTGCTTGAGCGCAGCTGGCTCGTACTCCCCACCTCGCGGAACGATGATTCCATGGTAACCAGGGTGGGTTCGTAGCGACAACAGACGTCGTTTGTTCGTTCGAAGAGACTGTTAGAGTCTCCGGAGTCTGACTATCGTAACGTGTGCAATTTTCGTCTTTTTTCGTGTTTTCGTGAAATGTGTTTCGTTACATTCAGTTGGAGAAACCAGTCTGCTGTAACCTCATTCCTTTGGTAAAATTTGTCACGCATGTTGAGTGAAACGTAAACAAAACAATAGAGCAGTGCCTATCTTCTGATCGTCTGAAAAGAGAAACTTCATTGTTGAGTGTTGGGCTCGCATCCGCGACCCAGAACATCAGCAGAGGTTAGTGCGCGCTCAAAATTTAAATTAATCTGAATAAACCATATTTCACATTTTCAAATACGAAATCATTGAAATCTACCACAAGTTGAAATAAATAAATTTATTTTCATACAAATGCACATCGAAAAAGTCATACAATAAAAAATTTGTCGCGAAAGATTGTTTTCACTCAAATTTAATACAATTTACCCCGATACTTGCCAGAAAAGTGTTTAAAGATCTTTTATAAATAGTTGAAATGTTTAAACCTTTGAGTCGTGAAATTTGGCGGTACAATAATGTCGCGGTAAAATTATCTTCAGCAATAAACCTAACGTATAGGCTATATTCAGCAGAATACTGTTACAGAGGAGTATAAAAAATGGAATACGAAAACGCTTTCAATTGGAAGAAAAGTTAATTAAAACATCACGATGTCTGCGTTATAATAACGTTCATACACGAGTGCGGGTCTCGCCGAGAGGAAAGTGTGTAACTCGGGGAAACTCGAGTTTCGCAAAACCAAGCTTGGTTAATTGCGTCACTTAGTCATGGCCGAACGGATGCCTATATAACTTAATTTATTGCATGCAGCTCTGTCACGACGAAAATTACGGATATCAACAGAGGCTAATAGAATATTGCCGTACCGAGCGCGCGTATATTTAGAAATAACGGCCAAAGCCTTTTCCAAGGCATCGCGAATTAATCGATTATCGGTACAGCGTAACAATTTCTACGGTACATGATTTTTATCCACGCGGTCGACCGCGCATCGGAGAGAAGGAACAACAACGCCAATATAAACAGCTTTTTCGTCTAAACGTAATCGAGGCTTTTGCTCGTTTCTATGAACCATAATCTTCTCGTACGGTTAGGTCACGTTGGAAATCGTTGACTACCTAACATTTTTTAACCCTTTGCACTGGAGAGGCGACTCTCAGTTGCCACTGTTTTCATATAGCAGGATCATCAAGTTTGATACTTAACACTTACTGTTAGCCAATCGAATGTGGAGATCTCCCACTTCTTCCTTAACAACGTGTTGCCTTTTATTTCGTTTATTTTTTCTTTTGTTATTTAGTAAATCTTGAACTAGAGTTCTTTGTTATTTATCAAGTGCCTTTTTTGCGTTTATAAAACAAAGTTTCTAATAAAATCAATGTTAATGAAAAAGGCTATTGTTATATATTTTATTTTTTTATTTTTTTTAGGCAGTTGCCTAAGTGTTAACTTTGTACAAAGTTAAATCTAAAAATATTATCTACACTTCGTTAGAAGACGATGAATGTTTCTAGTGAAAAATTTCGAATACAAAGGGTTAATAGTGCAAGAGCGTCTCTACATTCGTGAATATGTTTGAATCGTATGTATTTAGTATGTTTTGTCGAGGTACTTAAACGAGTCAGCAAGAACCGAGAACGGTTTTCAGTGCGAGCCACCGAATACAATGTTAACAAGTAGCCGTATAATGAATGAAGCTGTTGTGTGGTGCGCGCTCATCGTCTGTTTCTAATTACCAGCAAAATCACCGCTGTCCAGTTCTTCGCGAATCTCTTTTTCCCTTCTCTGTGAATTTCTAATTTCGTTCACAGTACTTAACGAACCGATTCGAGTTACAACAACCAATTTATTTCCTGGAATTTGCATTTAATCATAATTTGCTTGCAATTACTTCGAGGACTAATATATCTAATTGAAATTATTATTAACCATCGTAATAATTAGAGTACTCTGTTTTGAATAAGTTGTTCCCTGTGACTCGTGTCACGGGTTACGTTACAATAACGCGAACTAGTAACAACTTAATTGCTTAACAACTTCAATTGTTAATCGTTTAACCTTCTATACACTAAATTATGAAATTTTTATCTTTTTTTATCGATATTTTCGTTCCAGACACTTACTTCATATCACATATAAAAATTTGTATAATTACAACTTTACAGAAAATTTTAAATATATTCGATTCGTTGTAACATTTTAATGAAAATGGTACTTAATAGTATATTCTTAATAGAATATGTTAAGTAACTAACTTAAAGTCTACAAGTATCAATGTACCAACGATATGAAGATCCATAAAAAATGAAACATTAAATTTATTCCAATATCAATAAACATTATGGTTAATTTTGTCACACGATTTTCGCAGTAATAAAATAAAATATCACTAGAAATGTAATAACAGGAAGAATTGTCTAGCGTGTTAAAAAATTTCATTCGTATCTCATAGAAACGGAATACGTCGCGATACGACGGGACAGGGCAAGACAGTTTGAAATTGAAAAGGTTTTCTATCGGAATCTCGCGAGTGCGGATCAATATCAAAAAAGAAGAAGGGCCGTATCAACTGTGAAAGTGGACCTTGCGAAAGTCGTATTTAATAAAGCAACGTGTGGCCCTTGTAGATCAAGCATTATCCGTCTGGCAAGTTAGTGTGACCACGTGCGCATTGCGTACCACAGCTACGGGCTATGGTGTACAGGCCCGTGTACGTGAAGTTCAACACGTTGTCGAGAGGCAGGTGGTGGGTATATTCTCAAACAAGATGCTCAGTTTAACAAGGAGGTTCGTAGCGGTTGCACAGCTGTCGGTGTAACAGCTGCATCTTTGAAAATCAAAAAAATACGTTAAAGAAGTCGAGGGACAAATGGAGACGACTCGTTTCTTTCAATGGGAAATAGCGTTTTTAAAATGATAACAATTATTAGCTCATTCATTCTATTCTTTTCAAATAAAAAGAGACAATTCTTTGTGAACGTGAGATCAACACGTTGCTTGCCAAGCTGAGATATAGAGCTTGTTTAATTTTCCGATTTCTGATTTTACGTACCTTGACCTATTCGCTACTAGCATTTGTTTCAATAGTAGCCCTCACGGTTACAATGTTTTACCAAATGAAACATATTTTTACAAAATGCAAGTAATATTCAAATAAGAAATCCTCTTGAATTCCTGCACATTATTCCATGCATTATAATATTAGATAAAAACACACGTAAATGTGATTTTTTCATATTTCCAAAGAATATGGAAAAATGATTGTTACAAATATGTGACAGTGGTAGCAAACATGTTGATTGAGTATCATATACTCAAACAATAATTATATATTATAATATATTATACTATAATAATATTATATTATAATTGTGTATACACGTGTGTGTATACATGTTGTGTAATATTATATTATAATTGTGTATACACGTGTGTGTATACATGTGTATGAATGTTGTTACCATTCAATACGTTAGTAACCTCGTAGAAGATAAAATGAAAATTTAGGTGTGCATGTAGAAAAATTGTTAAGTCATTACCAAAATAAATAAATTACAAGGAACTATAGAATACTTTAGTCCACGGTAATTATGTTAGAAAGGAAAAGAGGGGAAAAACGTCCCCATAAAGGGAGTATTGATTATTAATTATCATTATAATTAAATTCTAATTAAAAATACTTGTTCGTCCGAGACAGCTACAGTTTTGCGTTTAATCGCTTAAGAATATGTTTTTGAATTTACTTGTTCGATTTTATTCATGCAACGTTAAAGTTTTATTTAACCCCTTGGCGTATTATTTACCTTCGCTACTAAGCTCGTGTAATATTTTACTATCGACGATTTGGAAGAAATGCAACAAAATTGTTTAAGTGGAAATTTCGCTTGAAGATAATGCATTGATAATAACGAAATAGTTGTTACTTTGATCCGTGGGCAACGAATGACATTGATTTTTGTTAAATTAATCTAGAAATCTTCATCACGAGTTTTACTCGTTATTGTATGGCAAGAGGTTAAGTGGGTTGGCGAGGGCGTACATATGATTAGACCTACGTCTGTATTAAAACTTACCTAGTCGATCGGCAGAAAATACCTGTTCATACTTTGTCGTAAATTGAAGTTATTTCTAAATTATTAATCCCTTGCCCTATGATTTACTTCTCAACTTTGATCGATATACCTACTTTGTCATTAATAATTCATTAAAAAATGAGAAAAATTCTAGGCGTAATCTATATCTATGTTTGTTCTAGTATATAATCATTGATAACAAGAAAAATATTTAATTTGAATTCTCAAGGATCGAATAATATTTATGCTTGTTAAAATCTATATAAAATCTTTGCCACAAGTCGGACACCTTATTACAAGGAAAGGAGTTAGTCATAACAATTATCAGTTTCCTTATAAATTTATAAATTTTTTCTGGGAAGGATTATATGCTAGCAGAATTCGTAATTGACTTCCTCTTTCGAAAAAATGACGAGTTTTAGCACACTTCTGAAGAAGCTTATATATTTGATTCTATATTTTAATTTATATGTCCAACTTTCGAGAGAAACGCTATTTCCTATGTGATAAGAGCTGTCCATAAACTAGTTTATATGACGTTCCCGTGAATGGGATGATAACCCAGATTTTTCTAAAATGTTCCAGAGACGACAGTTTCAGAAACATTCAGCACTTTCGACCGTAACTAGCTAGTTTGTAAATAAAATTCGTTTTTCAATTAACTTCTGTAAGACAAAATTGTTGGAAGTACTATTTCATAAATTGGTGGAAGTTCAACATATTATCGCTTAACTCGAGATTTACGGAACGACCCAATTTGACTCATACTGAATATTATAAACATTATTTGATAAATATTTGGGTTGATTTTGTCTGATGCAATTACGCAAACACGTTTCCTAATAATACATTTTTAAACATCTAATTTCCTAGATCTAAACGAACGAACATCAATCTTTCTAGGAATAATAGAATAAATGTCCGTAAATTTAATGTTAAATGATCTCAGAACTTGAAACAAGCTTAAACAATACGAAAGAAATATTCTCTTAAAAATGTTAATATTCGTGACAATTTTCAGTAAGTTCCAAAAGTTGCAAGTATTTATCTCGCTGACAGAATGAGTTGCACATTGTGAATGCTTCAGTGGACATACGTATTGGGTTCTATGGAACTGACTCACCGATGCTTCACTCAGCAACTTCTATTGCTCATTAAAACGACAAATCATAAACCACGCGTTTAACATTAACGACGAACAAACGAAGAAAGAGACGAATTTATTTCGCTCAGATAAGAATAGAAACTTTTGACCTGCTTTTTAAGTTTTACCGGAAGCTATAAATTTCACACAGCTACGAACACGTTTGCAGCATTCTACGCAATTGAATTTACCGAGATCCAGTAAATTCGTATAATTTCTCTAGCAACTGTACCATTCCGTTTAAAGTTCCAACGATAACCGTTAAGTATTTACGTTCGCTATTAAAACAATCCGAAAGATTAGATTTAACTTGAAAGATAATCTTGATTAAAAAGGAAGATTAGAAAGTGCAGAGTGTTTATTCTAGAATACTGATATAGATCGGCGATTAAAGATCGCGATGAGCAATAATTGAAATAATCGAATGTCGTAGGGAAAGTTGGCTAGAAAAGGCAATGCCTGTTTGGAACGAGCCGTCGCATTGTTCGTAGGGAGGCAAAAGGAAATTTCAAGCGAGAAAATTCGGTTTGTAGAACAGTCGTCTAATTGGCGCTCGTAACGAGTCGATCGATCGTGTACGTTGAGAAACGACTGAGGAAAGAGAGCGAAAGTCCTCCGATCGATCGGTTGTTTTCTCTCGCGAAACTCTCTGAGGTGGCCCGATACGGTGATATCATCAATTAAAATCTGAAACCTGTTCCAAGTGGAACTTCATTTCATTCTCACTAGGAATGCCACATTAGCAATGCCGGTCTCGTGCTTGCATAAGTGTAATGTATATGGATTAGCTGCATGTGGGTGACCTCTAATTACAACGGTATCGATTGATAAAGAGAACACACGTAACTACGTGAGTCATATTTCACGTACCAATAGTAATCAGATAAATACAATGAGTCATCTGCCATAAATAGGGTAATGCATAACGGATACACGTATAATACAGAGATGATTAACACTAGAATTACGAATCACTTAACCTGCTAACCTGTTAACTGTGGAGTTTACAGTAAAATGAAAAATGAAGCGTGTACTCGTCAAACGCAGGGCGAATGCACGTACGGTATATTTGAGAGAAACACCAAAGCAAAACGAAGAAGTATTACATGTTTATCTGAATAAATAAATAATTCATCGTTGAAAGAATTAGTATCGTTTCAAGCTTTAACATAACGTGTATACTCGTGAAACGCAGTTAACTGGTTAAGCGTGGAATCTAGTTACAAAAGTCAAACAATGAAGTGTATACTTATCAAATGCATGCCAAATGCACTTATAATATATTCTAACGAAAAATTAAAGCGGAACAAAGAAGGATTACATACTTATCGACAAAAATAAATAATCCATCGTTGAAAACGATATATTCGTCATTTTCTAATGAAACATTAATGGTACCTTTTATGACTAACATAAATATAAATAATACACGTAAACAACATTCTATTTCAATATTTCATTTATAATTACATTATATGAACTTTGATATTGAATATCAAACTTCATAATTTTGTTATGTCGAGCCAGATGGCGACTGTGAGTCGCCTTTCGAGTGCAAAGAATTAAGATGACATGTATACTCGTCAAACGCAGTGAACTGGTTAAACTGACTTTTCATATTTCTTCGTGGAAACTATAATCGTGCATTTATTAAGATTTTCATTGATTTGTATTGTAGTTTAGGTATTACTAAATCGACTTCTTTAACCCTTTGCACTCTATAAGCTCCACTACGCCATCATTCATAGTATATTTTAATAAACAAATTTGTAAAAACTATCCTAAGATTGTTGAAATTGCTAGATATGCAATTTTCGCCCTAGAAAGGAAACCAAACAATTTAGGAAACGTTATGATATAATTTTATAATTTTCACCAGGGGTTCTATACAAATTCCTTGGAGTTGTCGATAGATTGCAAAATCAACTGGAGCGCTAAGGGTTAATTATTAATCCTTTAAAAAATTATAAATTCCCAAAGCAGCAGTTACACCTTTTTAGCAATTGTAAAAGAAGAAATCAGGAATTGGTTGTTTTGACCCATTTGATAGTTCTAGTGTAAAAATCAGTTTACATTCTTTAATTATATCTCCTCGATTCATCTAGAAAAAGAAATCGCCTATTTTAGCTTCAATATTTTTACTCTATAACACATTTATGAAATAATGCTTTTATCATCGTTCTCCATGTAATTTTCACCTGATATTTTAAATAACAAAATGATCATTTTTAACGGAAAGCCCAATGTCTTTCTCATTTATATTGTAAAAATATATTTCCATAATTTTTGCATATAACAGTCTGTTTAGTGGTTTCGAATGATTTGATACTTTAAACGGTTTCACCGAATCGGAATATATACATACATATGTGTACGTTAAAGTATTTCGATAACTCAAGCCCGTTCAAGTGCGTTGGCTCGAGTGACGAGGTCGTCTAGATTCTCGAAACAAAATATGTCCTTTTGTGATGGTAGTATGCTCGTTCCTAATGTAAAATATTAAATGTACATAAATTATCATTTTAAAGACGGAAAGAAATAAAGTCACTTACCTTTAAAATATTAGGTACCTAGAAAAGTTCGTGCGATTTTCTTGCCGGGAATGAATTGAGGTCCGATTTCAATCAGTATTTCACTAGTTTAACCCTTTGCACTCGGAAGTTTTTCGGATATTGAATTTGAATTTTTTAAACGTTATTTAGTAACAATTTAACCACTTGCACTGGAAGTGAATTCAGAAATTTGGCAAAGTCTCTTGCGATGAATTTTGTTTTTACCTATTTTACTCTGATATGTACACTTACTTTGTTTGTTGATCATTCTGTATAGAGTGATACATTTTGAAGTAATCTAATAATGCAACAAGATTATCAATGTGTGAATGACATCATTGAGAATTTCGGGATAGAAACATCTCAACGTGCGTGGCACGTCTTCCCAGCGCAAGTGGTTAAATTGTTACTAAATAACGTTTAAAAAATTCAATATCCGCCAAACTGACAGGTTCCGTAAATCTAGTGTTAAGGATAAAGTAGTTTCATCGAGCACGGTTGTCAGAGAAATCATAGGGCATCGGGTTAAAATCGGAGTCATGGAATTCAAGTATTTTGTAAACAATATCCCGTGGCGTTTCCAATTTCCCCTATTACTTCGACGAATGAGAATGAGAATCTCTGGCTCGCCTTGACGCTCCTTACAAATCGATCCATCTGCCATACTGCTATGCCTCTTCGGTATACATACATATGTATATACGATTATACCTAGGGACAACAGACCACACAACGCACATTATGTTCCATTTCCAATGTATCGGGCTTGACCTCAGCTACCGAGAGTACTGACTCAAATTACACGACCGAGGGAGCATGTGTGCTTCAACCTATTTAATCCTTTGTGCGCGTCACAAACTTGCGATACTGTTTTATATGTATTCTTCTACCAAGATGAAGTAGAGCTTAACGCTGAAGCGTCGTATAAGGGCAATGTCCAGCCGAGACGCAACCTGTCTATTTTTAATTATACGTGCGTGTAATATGTTATACATAGTAGACACGTTGATCTATTTGTGACCGAATTTTCTTTCTTATTATTGTTACGTGTGATATAATATTCTATTTTTTAAATTACAAATGATTTTTAACACTAGAACTACCGTACCAGTCAAAATGACTGGTTTCGATTTTTTTGTTTAGCAATTATTGATACCTTCGAAGCATTGAATATTCGAAATGATTTTGAAAGTAAATAGTTTCATTTCAATACTATAATGAATGCCTGAAGAAACTGAAAATAATCTATTGTTACAATTTTTATAGGAATTGCATATTAATCGTATTAAATGCTCGGTAGTTCTAGTGTTAATTAAGGGTCATTCGAAGTTTTTAATTGTAATAGAAAGAAATATGCATCCCATGTGTTTCCCAATTATAATTTATACATGCAATTGCATTTATGAAATGATTTAAATATTTTTATTTAAAACAAAATGAATTTTGTGTTACATGGAATTATAAAGTATGAGAAGGAGGATTCGTCTTTTAAACTAAAAATGGAGCAATTTTTATGGTTCTTTTTCAGATACGAGAAATTTGATTTNNNTATACATGTTCGGAGATGTTATTAAAATTAGTACGTCTTTGTTAAAAACAAAAATAACTCGATAAAACGTGCATACTTGTTCCTTTTTAGTAGTATTACTCTTTACAATGAAAATTCGTCTTATAGAAAGTAAGGACACAACACGTGGTCAAATTGTATTACATATGAGTAGGGTAACTCGAGGAGAGATGGATGGCCTACATTTTTAATAGAAGAACTACCAGTTGAGTTCAAATGACCCATTCCTGATTTCTCCCTTCATCATCATTAAAAACGCATAAATGCTTCTTTAACCCCTTGGCGTACTATTTACTTTCGTTACTAAGCTCGTGTAATATTTTACTATCGACAATTTGTAAGAAATACAACGAAATTTTCTATTGTACTACAGGTGGAAATTTCATTTGAAGATGATACATTGATAATAGCAAAATAGTTGTTTGCTTTGATCCGTGGGTAATGAACAACATTGATTCTTGTTAAATTAGTTTAGAAATCTTCATCACGAATCTCACTCGTCATTGTACGGCAAGGGGTTAAGAAATTAATATTGGTTGGAACGCCAAGCGGCGCGATCGTACTTCCTCCGTTACACTATCTAAAAGTACCAGCCTATCGGTTTGTAGGATTAAATGGAGTTTATTTATTTGTTTTCCTTTTAATCATTTATTTTGACCTGTTTTATTGCCTGCTTGGAAATAGAAAAATGGATCGGTCACGCCATTTAGAATATTTTCATGTGAAAGTAGACAATCTTAAACCTTAACACTCCTATGTCGAGCGTGACTCGACAGCAGTTCTATTCACAGGTGTGATTCTTTGTCAAGATATTTTTCAAATAGATTATATTATTATGTTATTCTCAGTATTGTTAGTAAGAAGAATCGTTTACACTGCTCTCTACAAATTAACTATTTTTTAAAAATGCATTTCCAATAAAATATGATAATACAGAGTTATCGGGGAAGAAATGCAAAAGAAAGAAATTCAATTTTTGACTGGATTTTTGTGAAAATGCGTGGCACTCAAGCGGTTAAAAAAGTTGATTTAGTAATATCCAAATTGAAACATGAATCGATTAAAATCTTAATACATTATAGCTTATGATTTCTATAAAGAAACTTTGAAAAGTTAGTTTCAGTGCTTGGTAGTTCCAGTGTTAGAGAAGTATATTTATGAAAGCAAAACTATATTTCGTGTGCACGAAAACTATATAAATTATAAATATTTGAAATGATTTCATCTTTATAAATAATTTTCAGTTGTTCATTTTAATCCAGCAAAGACGGACTTATCAATATAGCAGATGAAAAACTTTACTATGCTTCAGCTAACAGCTCTTTTTGATGTAATAACGTACAAATTAGTCTTAAGTGTATAAACACGTCTATAAATATATAGACAGAATTGCAGATTAAAGTTTATTATAATTAATCCTTTGCATTCGACAATATTTTTCATTAAAAATATTCATTACTTTCTGACTGAATATTAATGATATTTTTCGCAACTAACACAATTGATTATCTTCTATGAATTAAGAGACAGAACTATTCTACTTCGATGTTTTATGTGTTGATACATTACACAAGGTTTAATATTGAATTGAAAATTTTATAAACTTGTTGCGTCGAATCAGGTGGCGACTGCAAAGCGCCCTTCGAGTGCAAAGGGTTAAGAAACAAATGATTGATTCGTAGAAAAGGGTATATTTGTTAAATAATAATATTTTTTTCAGGTGGCGTGGGGTACTGCAGTGATGGAATTGCAGAGCTGGCTGCTCTATCATCTGGTAGCCGTAACCGACTGCAACCAAGGTATATACGGAGAATTCTCGCACCATATGCATTTCGATTAATTATCATAAACACAAGAACACCGAATATCATTTGAAATTGTTCACCTAATTTCAACGTGTTGCTTTATAGTTTACGCACACATTAACTCATCATTTTATGCCATTGGTTATTTTAGTTACTTTTGCCTGAGTTTCAACTGTACTCACAGAACGCTACCGCTTCTTTATTTCATTTACAATTCCGTTATCGCCTAGAGGAAACAGCGGTTCACCGATGTTCGATGGTAAGTTTCACAGTCCTTTGTATTTTATCGGAAAAATAATGCAGATATGAATCACCAGAGATAAGCGTTTCTCATGAATGCACTTTTTTTTCGACGTTTATTAAGATCATTTGCAAGGCTAAAATGAAATGAATACTTCTTGTAATTCATTTAAATATATTCCATGAATATACAATAACTTTCGAAACCAACATTTCCTTTTATTTGCAAGTTGATGTCATGGATTATTTTTCTGTTCCATTAAATAAGTTGTTTCATTGTTGAAATTATGTACGTGCATGTTTCATTGCAGTCAAAACAGAATGAATTGACTATGACATTAAAAATTCGATCTGAATTTGTTTTATTCGAAGAAATTTAAATGATAATGTAAACAAAATGATTATATAATTACAACACATTTATAGATTTAGATGTTACAGTGAATTCCTGTCTTCTCGTTGAATTATCATTTGGCGCATATCTCATCAAACAGCTGCATAGTGTGCCTAAATTTTTAGTGATGCAGTCGGCGACTACACTGAACGGCGGATCTTATCCCGCTGGTGGCACCGGAAGTCGTGCCCGCGATTTAGGGCTACGCGCTCAGAAGAAACTTTTGGGCAGGGTTGTATCTACAGGAGCAGGGAGATCGCTCTTGATAGACGATGCAACCACGTCGCTATTAGACAATCTTTACAAGCTCATGGAGAGAGCTGCAAAGACTAATCCTACTTTGGACAAAAAGCAACCAGAAAAAGTTTTGAAAAACATCGTTAAATTGTCTATTAAGGTACTTGTTAAACTGCAGATACACATGGACACTAAAATTTTCCATGGAGAATATTCTGTATAAAACCATGATGCCTGCTACTACAAATACTTGTTCTCGATGTTGATGGTTGTCATAAGTATTTGAAAATTTTTCAGGTGGCATTGCTCCAACGCAATCAACAATTATACGCCACTGATGACGCGAAGCTCGCCGAAATAAGAATTGCTCTGAGAGCTGTAGCGATGTCCGTAGTTTCGTTTTACGAGCTAGAATTCAGTTTCGATAGAGCTTATTTAATCAAATCTCTGGAGCGTTGTAGAACAGCGATACAGTCTCTCATAAAGCCACATCTCACAGATAAATCTCAGGACCGCTGTGACCAAATGTTCGACTTTTTAACGCATTCCGATTTTTTGGACTCTGTGTTCAGACAGGACTCTGAGCACAGACCTATTTTAGGCATGCTAGTTAGCGATATAAATAAGGCCTTAGATGCTGGGCATCTTTGATTTTTTTTATTAACATAACCTCACGATCATACTGAAAAGAATGGATGGAAAATCCTAAACTTGCTGATGTATTATTATGATTATGAAAGGTTTAAAAGTGATCTTTCTCGAATACAACTTTAGAGGACGATATCACGGAACAGTTACTTATAATTGCCTGTAAAAAAAAATAACAATATGTTGTCGGTACGAGGAAACGGTTCAGACATAACATTCCTCGTGAGATCGGATCGATTACCACAGTAGTGCTCACTGATTTATGCAATAATTGTGAAATACTCTATTTATTTTCAGAATGTATATTGTATGATTAATGTATATTTATTTACGGTACTTGCGTGTTAGAATATACGGACTGTCAATCTATACCAAAAAGAAAAATGAGCTTATTTATGCCCGACAATGGGCTCATAGTGATGACGATAGAAACGCTCTCACTAATCCCCACGTAATGACCATGTGAAAGAAGCAATTTATCGCTGCGATCACACTAATAGAAATACACGCTCTGAAAAAAATCCATATTAAAGGCATTAATCTTTCACTCGTCAAGAACTACACTTTACAACATATCGACGAGTGCATTATAGGGGAAAATGACTGTCGTTTTTACCTATATTGCGCCTTGGGTACGTTTTGAACATAAACATATCTAATATAACCATGGCTAAGCATCAATAATCGAATTGAAAACATTTGCATTACATGTACTACAAGTATATCGCGATTTACGCGTGTTTTGTATACATTATACACACTTTACACGTTATTTGTGATGATTCTCAATGAAATAAATAAAATGTATGAATTTACCATTAATAAATTATTGATAAGAAGTACGACATCCTTTTACTTACTTTGCCCACGTAACTGAATTAAAATGATCAATATATAAATTTTCAATAAATGATTTGGTATATTTATTTACACAGACTACTTAACGGAATTACAATGTTATCAACATAGCTTTGTTTACCGTCCAAGTAGTATTATATGTAAAAGGTATATAAAGTCTGAAGTATCAAATTAAACTACAGCAAATCATTCGGTATTTCCTTTTCAAAATTAATTTTACTTAAATTTGATATATACTTTTCTACAACCAATTAACATAATACTCTGACGGAATATAACAAGCTAACATTGAATGACTGAGATTTACAAACATCTTTTGTACATATCTTAATTGCATTGTTTCTTAACAATCGAAATGTATTTCAAATTTTGAAATTAAAAAACAAATTACCTATATATCCCTTTATCTTTGTAGTAACAATTTGTTACTAATAAAATACGAACACAAACACGGAAACTAATTATAAAAGACTTAACCCTTTAGTTACTACATATCCCCAAAGTGATACCATTGCATCAAATTTCAAGACAAAAAATCAATACAGAAAATCTTTTCTGAATCTAATCTTTTACATAGAAATAAATGAAACAAAATATTATAACTTATTCGGCTGTTATTTTACCTTCATGTGTTTATACATTATATAATTTGCATTCCTTGACAGAGTTTTGCGTAACCAAAGGGTCAATTATATTTAAATGATAAAAAGGATATTCTTTATACATACAACACATCTCACAAAAAAAAGAAAAAATAAAGAATCATAAAATCTAAACATAAATATTTGGAAGTTGGTCTAAAATAATTTTTTATACATTGCCTAATATAAAATAACATTAAATAAAGTATTTAACGACAAAGTGATGCTGCTATTGTAATTGTACAAAATTGTTATATAACTTATACGTATATTTAAGTATAAAAATTATTTATTTATACTTTTCATATTGCATTAGTCCAGATAAAATGTATAACGCTTAGATTTTCTTGTTTAAATTGTACTAGCATGAAAGTTAGAACGTTTCAACATGAATATTATAATACAATGTGTATCAATGACAGTTTACTTGGTATTGTTTACAGTGTTTCGTATAAAAACAATGAATGAAACTCAATTGTTAAAAGGTATGTGTTTTCGAAAAATATCAAAAGTTCATAAAATTACTGTTAAACAAAACTCTTGATATTTTGCAGTATTTTTTTCTTTTTGCAGTGTTTATGCTAAAAGTACATGCGATAGTCGATATTGAAATATGTTCAATGTACTCATTCATTATGTACGATCACATACATATTTATACAGTCTATTCTCGAGTTTGTAGATACAACACGCATTTTTACTTATTATGTAATGTAATGATGTTATGAATATATGAGAACAAGTTATAATCCATTAATATATAAGTACACAGAATATACTTTGTTACCATATATTCATCGTAATGTTGATAATCCAGATACTTATTGTTTATATGCCAACAAGTTTTTAGTCCATTAAAATGCCCTATCCTAAATATTAAAAATGCACTTGCATTATTACTGCATCAACAAATTTAGTACATTAACATAGTTGCAAATATAATGGTCAATTTTATCTTTTAAGTGTACTAAAAATTCAAGCACAATTCATTTTCTGAACCAAATATAAATTTCATAGTTCAAACTTGAAAATAATTCCACATAATCTGCGTCATTATTTATGCATAGTATAATATCTCATTAGTTAAAGATAAATTTGTTAAAATGAATTTTCTCAATTACATTCAGCAAACGTATTTATACAATCACAGGTTTTGTATATCATTATCTCTTATCGCAAATGCGCACGACTTACATTCATTAATACTTCAACGTCTTAAAATTGTATAACACATGATGAATACGGAATCCAATCAATGTTAAACTGTTTCAATTTAAAATATCTGCATTGAACTTATGTGTTTCAAGTACTGACAGTTTAGAATTAATATATTCAATTCTTTGAAATTGATGACAATATTCAACAAAAAAATCTTGATAAGTAAATGAAATGAACTGTAATAAACTATATATTTTTAAATTTTTGATGTAACAAAATATTAACAATCATCACACATATTCAAAATGTTTGTTTGAACATCAATAAAAATTCCATATGCTTGATATTGTACCATGTAATACAGAAATAAATGGTAAAAGATGGTAATAGATCTCGAATGCCTAAAATATGTTGTCTAACAAATATTCATTGTATATTGTTCTTCTAAGGCCAGTATTAAAATTTTAACATTATAGATTGTATTTGATAAAACTTAATGTTCATTGCAGTGTTATTCGTTGATTACATTTTTTAAATTTTTAGACAAATGAAGATATAGAATACGGAATATCAAGGAGTTTTTACAAATCACACTATATGCAGGCGAGATAAAGATTGAAATAATTAATAATAATTAATAATAATAGTAATAATAATTTACGTTATCACTTCTTAAAAAGTCATTTTCGTTATAATCTAAAAGAGATCCTCATTCAATATTTTGGTAAATTTTACCTACAATAACTAGTGCGAGTGCAAAATTTTATGTTACATAATGATAGAAATTATTTTGTCATTTATCTAATGAACTGGTGATGTAAAATCATGATATCGTTTACCGAGTACATATTTTAAATACATGCAAATTCCATTTTCATTCACACTGATACATATACATGCTAATGATTGTTCATTAAAATGAAACTGAAATGAAATTTGTGTTCATCACTATATATGTATGATTTAAATGATAAAAATATAACAATTATTTCACTTCTTTCACTCCAGATGTCAAGTGTTGGAGGTATATACACCTTGAAAATTGATTTTCCTATGTTATCATCTTCTCTACTTGCTTATCTATTTATGAAATATAAAAATGTTTAAATATCGTATTAAATTTAAAAAATCTCGTTATTAGAAACTTATGATTTTAGATCTGTGTGCTACTACTTTTTTTTAGTTAAATTGTAATAGAGTGTCTAGCTTCTGACAATACAACTTACAAAGTGCCAATTCTATAAGAAAGAATAAATAGAAATGTGGAACGAAACATTTTTGGTATAGGTTTTGTTTTTGAAGAAATTCAATTTAAATATTAACTAATTACAAACAAAAACAAAATTAGTTATCAAAGAATAAATATTTTCATTTGTTTAATAATTAGGAATATCATGATTTTGTAAAATAGTCTGAACTATTTTTTCACACTTTGGTTATATTATCAGTCACAATATACTCTATAATTATATAACAAAAATAAAAGAAGATTTCCTGCAAACGTATTAAAGTTTAGAATAGTGAAGTGATTTTAAAGCAATATGAACAGGCATATATACCTCTTCAGACAAATTTCAGACAATTTAAATGTACAACTTATTATTTACGTAAAGATTGATGCTGTTCAATTCAGATGAAATTTTATTGCCATAATCCTGCGTAGTTACCATAAAGATTCATAGGAAGGGGTCCACCAGCTGCAAATAACCGTGTACCCGATCCGTCGTAGCAATGAGTATATATAGCAGGCGTGTATCTCACATTTTGGAATCCGTCGATATATTCTTCATCCGGAAACTAAAATATACATAATAAGTACATTATTTTTCTTTATAAAAATAACATCTTCAAATTTAAACTGAAAGAAGTGAAACATACCACATATCCTTTAGAAGCTTTGAGTATAACAGTTCTTATAGAATTAATTGAAGATTCCAGATATTTTTGAGCTCTGACATCATAAAACATCAGCATTCCTAAACCGGTCCCTATTGTTAAAACAGAACCTTGGAAACTGGCCGACCTAATTCCACAACCACTATATCTGTTAAATAAATAATATATATAAATAAATATATACACATTTAATTTATTCGATAAGTTGAACACATGTTAAGTACTGCGCTAATTTATGCCGCATAGGTTAGCGGTAGTACATATTACTGCTCTTATTATATATTCGTGTTTATACGATGTCTTATAATTTTTCTAGTATATAAGTAATTATTAAGAAGAAAAAGAAGAAGAAGAAAAAGGAATAACGTATAATACCATATGCGGCATAAAATGAAACGTACACTTCTATTAAAAAACATATAAGTAAATCGAAGTATAGCACATCTCCTTATAAGAATTGTCGAAATGGCTTGCGTAGAAAGTCTAGTACGGCTCACAGATAATTTACACAGTGCTCAATGTACTTGAATTGTAACAATAGAATATTTGAGTCACGTGTTACATACCGTGACGGTACTTTCTTAATAATTTGTAATGTTCTTGGGTCTAACAATAAAGTATGAGAACGACATCCCACTGCATAAACACCATTATCTTGCACTGCAAGACAAACATTCTCTTGACAAACTGGTAATTTTCTAGAAATTTTTTGTCTGAATGTTTCCGCAGACCAAATGTGTATAAAGCTATTCAAAGTGAGTGCAGCAATTTCTTTGTATGTCCTATGGAAAGCAAGAGCTCGTACTCTTTGAGCTGATCTGCATTCTTTCACACAAACTGGTTGAATTAACCTAATCAGATAAATAAGAAATTGATTAATATCAATTTTAACACATTCCGTGCCGTACCGTTTTTTTAAGACTTTCCGTTCAGGCCGTGTGAGGCGTATACGACCCACACTTTTACAATTAAATAAAATTAAATAAACGCAGTATACACGATATTAGAATGCCTATATTTGACTCTACAATAAATTTCTCAATGAGAATTCCAAGCGGCCTGAACGGAAAGTTCAGTGTGGGTCGTATACGCCCCACGCGATACGGAACGTATGAAATATATATTATTTATAATTTGTATTGCACTACCTGTGAGTAGGCACGTCTGCTTTGTCAGGGGCTTCTGCAAGATCATTATCAATACGCCACAAAGCCATTTTAGTGTCTCTAGAACCAGAAACTAAAAATTCGTCATCTAGCCAACACATATCAAAAACCCAATCTCTATGGGCACCTTCTCCTACACAAACCGGATCTAATGTTGGTAGCCTATATATTGCAATTTCATTACTATTTCTTGCTCCAGTTGATAAAAGTGTCCTGCAATGTACAATAAGAATTTTAAGCTCAAAAATCTAATAGTATTAATTCAAATCATATAAATTTTATTGTATACAAACCTCGAAGGATTAATTTGAACAGAATGTATACCACATTGTTGTTCAGGAACAGCAGCACCTCCAGAATTAATTTGTCGTCCATGTAGGGATGGTATTTGATCTAATTTTTGTGTTGCTACATCGTAAACCATCAATTTGTTGCATTTTGTACCAAATACTACTTGTCTATCACTTAACCACTGAGAGCAAAACACTTTATTCATATTATTTAAACTAACTGAATATTCTTTAAATAATTCGTGAGTCAATATATGGCGAAATCCATATTCTTGATTAATTTTCCGCACTTCTCTTGTATTTGTTTCTCTAGCACGTACATAGTCCACAAAGTTAAAAGATGTCCTTAAAAATTGTTTTCCTTCATTTATGGATTCTGCTTCATCATCACTTGATTCATAACACACAAAGTCTTCTTGCTTATCTAACTTTCGATTCCTTTCTAAACTTAATGCTAATCTGCAATAAAAACTAAAGATCATTAGAATTATATTAAAATATAAAAATCAGTTGTATCCACATTTTATTAATTTACCTAGCACGGCGTTCTTCTAAACGATTTCCATTAGCACAGGGTGGATGTCTGCCATATACAGTCATTCTCTGTGTTTCAGCCATTTTGTTTAAATTTTATAATTGATAAATTATAGAGTTTGTTGCATGTAAAATTTATTCGGTAATTATTAAAATTACCTCTTGTCTACGTAACGATTGAGACTATTTTTTATTTACAGTCTCAAAAGTATTATGTCAAATATGTTTGATAATTGTTTTCGATTGAATTACTTTCTTTAAATGGAACACAAACAGGTGTTCCTGACATTATAACAAAAATTATCTTTCATTCATTTAACTTCCAAAAGGAATTAAATAATTCAAACGTGTTGTTTATATTCATGCGATAACACAGTCATTGTAATGATCGATATATCTATCTTGTGACATTGAAAAATTATAGTGCTTAAATAACTTTGTCAAAGGAAATTCCAGTTCCGTTTGATGAAATATTTATAAATTTGGTTGGTGTAAAATAAAATAAGAAGAAATTCTTCTTGGCAGCAATTCTGCTTTGACTGGAACAAAATCAAACTGTAAATTTTTATAGAATTAAAAAAAAATGAAATTAAAGCTTTTTCGAATATAATAATTTCAGAAAATATGCGTAAAAAGTTTCTTACTATTTAAAAAGATATAACAAACCTTACTAGAAGGACGGTAATTGCCAAATCTATCCAGCTACCTAAGCAAAGCTACCTTCGGACGAAATCCTTTGTCTATCACATGCAGAACTTCATAATTATGTAACTCGTATGCACTTACGGAGAATCATATAAACATCAAGGTTTTATATCAAAATTATACAACGAAATAGAAAAGAAAGCCACGAAATTCATAATAAGTGAGGAGACCTTCGAGACACCAAGCATCTAACCATCGCCATATTGAAACGAGCAGCAAAATTGCGTAAAATTTAAGAAAATCCACTGAAACTTTCTAACCATATTGTCCGGTTTCCTCATCAAATATTTTTATAAAGTTACTTTATTTGTTAATAACAATAAATCAAATGATTCTTGAATAATTATGAAAAACAAAGAGAGCAGCTTCTATCAATTGTCAACGGGAGAAGTTTACCCCCCCTACTGGGCTTTATTACAGCTGACATTTTTAAAGAAATGGCGTCCTTTAAGAAAATAAATACTAAAGTATTCGCAAGATCGGGAACCGAATTAACCCCGGATAACATATATTGGAAAAAATATACTGTAAGTATCTTTTAGTAGTAAAGATAATGTATTTGTTGATGATTATGGTATATTGATTAATTTGTAGTCCCCACGTGTATATAACTTAACCTAAAAGTTGCGTTTAGCTCTTTAGTTCCCGGTGGCATCGTTTTAAAACCACATATTTCAATAGCAGTTGCGAAGCCACCAGTATAGAGTTGATATAATAATCAGCCTTGTATTATTATTATTATTATCACTAGCATTTATAAAAATATTTATTTTTGTTAAAAATGATAAGTTAACATGTATTGTAAAAATAAAGGTATTTTTCCTAAAAGTTCTTATTTAGGACCTAAAGAGTTAAAAACAATAAAAGGGTTAAGAAGAATATGATTATATAATAAAGTAAATTACGTTTATTCAACAGGCACCCGTCTTAGTTAAAGAATTTGGACCTATTGATTATATAGACTTTTCACCTGTAGAACCACATTATTTTGCTGTTACTTGTTCAGTAAGAGTACAAGTATATAATCCAATTACAAAATTGGTCACAAAAAATCTTAGTAGATTCAAAGAAGCTGCTTATGGCGGCTCTTTTCGTAATGATGGAAAATTACTATGTGCTGGTGGCGAAGAATCAGTTATTAGACTTTTTGATGTTAGTACAAAAAATGTTCTGCGGCTTTTCTCCGGGCACAAAGCTGCTGTGCATAGGACATTTTTTACTGCAGACAATCTTCATATTGCTTCGTTTTCTGATGACAAAAGTGTCATTATTTGGGATATACCCAGTGAAAAGCAAATTATATCTTTTACTGAACATTCAGATTATATCAGAGCTGGTGCAGTAAGTCCTATTTCTAAGGATATAATATTGTCTGGTGGTTATGACAAACATATCTATATGTATGATGCAAGAACAAATAAACAAATTCTTAATGTAAGTCATGAAGCTCCTGTGGAAAGTTTATTATTTTTACCATCCGGTGGAATATTTTTGTCTGCAGGTAGAGTATTATAATTATTTCTTACTATGTGTTACCAATATATTTCAAATATCTAAAAAAGCTGTATTAAATATTTGCATAAAGGTGGGACAGAAATCAGAGTGTGGGATGCACTTGCTGGAGGAAGATTGCTTGCAAAAATTGTACAACATCATAAAACTGTAACATGTTTAAAAATGGCTTCGAATGGTCACAGAATTTTGTCTGGCTCATTGGATAGGCATGTGAAAATTTATGATTCTGGGACATATAAGACTGTACATTCCTTGGACTATCCAAACTCAGTTCTTAGTATAGGAATTAGTGTAAGAAAATATTTACGTTTTATATTATTCTGAATAGAAATTTCAATTTTTAAGTAAAACTTTATGAATTTTAGTCTAATGATGAAACTATAGTAGCTGGTATGGTTGATGGCTTAATTTCTGTTAAAAGAAGAGAAGAAGATGTTAAAAATGAAAAACCACTGCATAAAAAAGTATCGTATAGACATTCTGGTAAAAATTTGCACACACCTCAGATAGATATGGTTGTGAGTGAGGATATGAAAGAAATTATGTCTAAACACGATACTTATTTAAGAAAGTTTCAATACTCTAAAGCTTTGGACTGTGTAATGATGAGCTATGTTGTAAATAAAGCTCCGCACGTTACGGTTGCGCTTATGCAGGAACTTATCAGAAGGCAAGGTTTGGAACAGGCTCTTGCTGGTAGAAATGACAAATCTCTTGTAAACATTATCAAATTTTTAAACAAACATATAGGTAGTGTTCGATTTGGAAGAGTATTATTACATGCAGCTAATATTTTAATGGGTATGTATCATATACTTTCCTCAAAATAGTAGTTTTGTTATGATTTTAATGTCAAATGTAAATAACAGATATCTACGAAGATCGTTTGGACGAACTTGGAGCAGAACCACGAAAAATGTTTACTATCTTAGCGCACAAATTAGCAGAAGAAGAAAATCTAATATTAGCTTTATCAGAATTACAAGGAAAATTATATGTAATATTGTCTGCTGCAGAGACTGTACCTCCCACGGTAGTAAAAGACAGTCACATTTTGGAACCTTCAAGTGCCGCTCAAAAGAACCTAATTTTAAGTATAGCATGAATATAACACGTTATATTGTCTCACCGTGTATCATAGAAAAGTTTGTACATATTTTTCATATATATTTTAATAAAAATTAAAATATTTATCATTATACTTTCACTCGCTAGACTTTTTAAATTAAGATACTAAAATAAAATACTAAAAATTGAATATAAATATTAAATGGATAATATGTAGTAGACCAAAGAAGTTTTTTACATTTTTTGTGAATGTAAATTACATTACATGCATTTGTGTTCATATAATATAAATTATCAAGGCGTGTATCAAAGTGTAATTATATTCGTAAACTACAGTTTATTCATTTACTTCATGGTATTTCTTTTTTGAGACATTTTTGCCAGGCAGCAGAAGATGGTTTATTAGGTATTACCCATCCGATTGGAATTGATGATGCATTACTATCTGTACTTATATATCTGTCCCAAGCAGTTCTAAAAATAAAACAATTTTTAGTATAGAAGTATATTTAACAATAACTAGTCATAAATATAGCTGATTCATTTATAATATTATATTTACCTAATATTAATAAAATTAGATAAATCAGTATCGTATTGATCATTTGTTAATATTTTTTTTCCAAATAATACATTTTCCCATTCATCAAACAGATTTTTCTTTTGTTTCTCAATTCTTTCTTCATTATCAGTCTTCAACATTAATTTTAGACCTTGTTCTTCTATGGAATATTCTCTATCAAGTGCTGACCATAGTTCTGTTAACTTAGCTGCGTATAGAAAATATAATTATTAATATAAATTTTTATTTATTTTTCATAAATAAAACTAGAATAGTACCTATGATATTGTTAAATGCTTCATCCGCTGCTAAAGACAAATGTTCTCCTCTTGCTCTGGCAATATTGACTTTAACATTCCGTAGATTTTGTAATTCCTGTAACAATCCAAGATATTTTCTCGCATCGCTTCGCTTTCCTCTAATATCAGATAAAATTAAATCTGCATCTTTACGTAAATTTTCTTCTTGCTTTTCTTTTTCTATTACAGCTTGTTCTTCTACCATCAGTCTTGCTCTTCTTTCCATTTTCATTATCTTCTCATGTTTCCATTTTTCTCTTCTAATTTTCTCCCTTAATCTCTTTTTTTTGCGTCTTTCTAAATCTTTCTTCAACTGATTTAAGAAATTTGGATCTTTTATAGAATTTAACAATTTCATAATTTCACTCTTTGCTGTATCACAAATGTTCATTTTCTCTTGCCATTCTTCTTCCGATAAGTTTTGATTATTTTTAAGTTCTTCACAAAGTATTTTCAACTTTTCATTCAATTTATATGCTGCCGTTATGGTATCTTTAGCAAATGCAATTTTAGACTTTCTTTGAATCGTTCTCTGGTCATTTGTATTCTTTGTTTGATCGTTTTTCCCAAGAAAAATTTCGATATTTTTCTCATCGGCATGTCGTATTTCTGTTGTAATTGCTGTCACAGTATTCTTGGTAATATCATCAGAAATCGTAGCAATTGGATAAATATAATTTTGATGTACATTTGAACTATAATTAGCGTTGTAAATAGACTGATCTATTGGATAATACATATTGTAATCCTGAATTTTGTAATTTCTGGTAGAACCTTCTCAAAACTTTAATCACTAAACATAAATGCTCAAGGTTTACACTTAACTCGATAAGATATAAAATGTCTTAATGCTATCACTTTTATTTATATGTTAAATGATTATTTTAATTCGTTTATAAAGTGTTAAATGAAAATATAGTTCATTCATAACTTTTGGCAGTTTTTTAATATAATTAGTACACTTTACTTTCTAACACATTTCCATAATCCCTCCCTCCTTAGGAAGTTGAGCTTCTGCCTCTTGTAAGATTTTCTCAGCTTCGATGTAATCTTCGATTTCTTTCAAATCTTGTTCTGTCTCTAAGATTTTTTTAAGCTCTTCGAATGCTTTAACAAGACGTCGTTGACAATCTGGTACCATCATTAGGGATTCTTGAAGAACTTCTTCTTGTTTCCTTATATCATAACCATCTTTGTCTGTAAAATAATTATAAATAACATGAAAATTACAATTCTTAAAAGTTATTTGAATAAATGCGTAAATGCGTAAATGCGACTACAAACGTTACGAGAGGCATATCAACTTTTTGATCAAGCAAATGATGTGACGTTGTAAGATAAAAAGAGGTGAAAAATGTACGGAAGCGTCACAACAGATAACACAGCTATTGAAAGGATCAAATTAATAGGAAAATAAGACATGCTTCCGATTGCATTTTTCATAATGTTCTCACCCTGTTCCTTTAATTTTTGTATCCTTTCACGTTGCTGTGCTGCTTCTTTTTCGTATGTGACTTTTTCTTTCGCGAGACGTTTCACTATTCCAGTTTTAATTTTTAGAGTTCTTATACGAGGATCAGACATTGTTTTAACTTAAATGATTTACCTCGTTAGTCGAAAATGAAGCGTTCACCGTTTAAACAAGATTTTCCTTATAAGGCAAGATGAGTAGCTACAAATAAATTCGAGAGAAACTTGGTGACGTATAGGTTATACCGATTTATAGTCGGAGCCTTGTACTCTATTAAGTTATACCCTTATGACATGACACTTATCGAAACTGTCGATCGTTTCGATCGATCGTTTGCTTATTTTTAATGCTTTCTTTAAATTTAAAATAAAATAATAATGTTATATTAAAAACAATTTACATTCATGCTAGACAAGTGCCAGATAAAATTTAATATTTTCGTAATAAGTGTTTTTATTCGTTTCAAATTCATTCAATTCTACAGAAAAACATTTTGACTGCAGTTATTTCTAGTTCCAGTGAGTACAATAGTAACGTTTGAAATAAATATATTTTTATTTCCAACATTTACAAGGAATTATAATAATAATACTATGGAACTCAAGTATATATTTATAGACGTACACATGAAAGAAATGAATGGTTGTAATTTTAAAGAAATTACATCCAAGCTGTTTTCACGTAGTTGCATTAACAGTTTACTTTCATTCATAAAATTATTAAACACGGGTCTTGTTCTTTATCAATATCTTCCTCCGTTAATAATTTCGCGCCATCTGATTTCGAACGTTCGAGACTCGCAGGAAACTTCAAACGGTATCGCAGTATATCCCCCCAACACTTCTGCAGAAAAACGCTACATCGTGTCTGCATTGAAAGGTGCAGCAAGAGAGAAACAGAAGGGTTAATCGTGTATCGGTTTATACTTGATTCTACGAGACATGTAACGAACAATAGTGGCAAGATTACAATGCAAGACGATATTTTCCCGGCAGCAGAGAAAATCCTTTCCGACATCGAAAATGTGGTGAAGAAGAATCCGTCACTGTGAGTGTTTTCGTAGATACATTACGAGGGCGGAGTCTTTAAAAATATCTGTGAAAATTGCCACTAAATTCTTCGATTAGATGCACCAACGTGTCCGTTACATCAATGAGTTAACATTACTGTTACTGTGCTTTCAATTTTCGGTCCAACAAATGTATAACACTGTCGTTTATGCGTTTTAATCAGACACGCGTACATACGACGCTTCGCAAAAGGTTTGCATAGTAAATACAGTATCAGTAATGTTGGTATCTGATATCTACGATATGAAACTGGCGCCATCACGATTATTAAATGTCATAACTATTATCCGTGTCGTTCGTTCGTACATGTTCATTCATGCAAGCCTCACAAGTCATAATTTATCGTCAAATACTGTATTACTAATTACCATTGGCGAAACATTAAATTATGATTATGAACGGTAAAAACGTGTAGACGATAGTGTACTTATACGCAACTCGGAATTATCGTTATTTTCACATCATTTTTTACACAGTTCATATGTTGTGTTATGTAATTCACATTTATGGATATACTATGTTCAAGTACTCTTAGTATATTTTGTATCATTTATTTTATTTGCTAATTATTGTATTATTTAATAAAGCAACGAGAACGATACTCGAAGCAGAATACATTATACGTTTGTCAATAATGTACATTTTATGATTTATTTTCAAATCGTTTGTCCGCCGAACATCAACTTGCAAATTGGGAACGGTTAACGTTTATAATTGACAAAAAGAAAGCTATTGTATCTGTTAAACTAGGGGAGAAAAAAACGAAGGAAAACATTGTTCATGTATAATTTCAGGAAAAGCTTCGAAATAATTCCCGCGGAAGATAATGAAAATAAATCACCAGTATTCCACCAAGAAGATTGTCTTGGATTGGCTTCGTGGTGCGTGCAACCGCTTTGTTGCTACGCTTATCGCCGACTCTTTGAACTTCGCCAGAATAAACACAGGCGCGAGGAGCCGAGTACAATAGCAAGATGGTTATTGGGCGCTTTGCTATTAAACCCGGACGTGACAACGTTTTGGAATATGCGACGGGAATTAGTGAGAAGTCAGAAGTTAGAGGTGTCGGAGGAGTTCGCGTTCTCACGGTTGGTGCTTTACCATAAGCCAAAATGCTTCGACGCGTTCGCCTACCGACGGTGGTTATTGTCGTACGTATTGAACGCCAAAGACAGCCGGTACGATTTCAATTCGGTGGACTCGCCCCTCTGCACGGAATTGAACCTGGTGACCACCTGCGCGGACAGGTACGCGAACAATTATGACGCGTGGAGCCACCGACGACATGTTATGGCGCTCCGAGAGTCACGGGGATTCGCTTATCCGATATTCGAGACCGAGTGGAAGAACACGCTTGCCTGGTGCCAGAGACACGTGTCGGATTACAGCGGGCTTTCCTATCGACAATTCTTATTGCAGAAGTACATGTTCGAGTTGAAGGAACTGCCGAGAGAGTCATTGATAAAGTGTCCGGCGGTCACGGAAAAATCTAAAGAGGAACTGTTCGCGTACATTAAGTCCAACATCAACGCGCATAAATTGCAGCGGCTACTCGATGCCATGGGGGCAGAATACAAAGCGAGTAGCACGAGCGCGGAACAACAAGCGTACTTCCGTACTTTATCCTACTGGGCGGAGGAATGTCGCGCGAACGAGATCGCCATTTGCATGTATCACAATTACGAGGCCCTCTGGTGTCATCGTAGGTTCCTGGCGTGTGTTCTCGTGCGTTTTATCGCGATGTATATAAAGCATTCCTGCCGCAGGGATCAGAGTGCCGAGAGATCGGTCGTCGCCCCGACGGATCTTCGGAACGAGTTGGTCACGATAGAGGACGACGTGACGTTGTGCCATGATTTTCTCGTGGAGACGTTCCACGCGCGGAACGAGAAACTCGGAGAGCTCGCGGCCGAACGAGACCAACGTGAAAAGATGCTGGTCGAAAGATTCTTCAAGTTTCTTCGAAATATCGGGTTCGAGATCAGGTGTTCATCCTGTTAGCCGTTGAAATTGTACTTTTAAATAAACGATGATGCGCGCGCATTCAGCTGTATAATCCTACTTGTATCGGGCATAGATCGAGTGCCGCAGGCAAGGTAGCAAGGTGTTACCTGCATTATCTAACTCGTACGCGTTGATTCAAACCGCAACGAAACTTTCCATGCGGCTCAGGCATCGAGGAATGTTCGACAATTTTTTCCTTTCATAGCGGACGTTCAACGTTTACATGCTTCTAGGATAAAAATAGCTTCCAAAGTTGGGAATCAACTGCTTTTCCTGCGTATATCTTGAAAACTAATAGTACAGGAGCTGGAGCAGAATGTTTAACACAATTGTCCTCTTTTTATAAGAAATACAATCACGCAAGGAATCATTAGAAAAGGTTTATAGGTGATCCGGGTTAGTCTAAGTCAACTTTGGAGGCTATTTTTCCTTGGTAAACACAAAAACGAACAGCTACGAAGGAATACTTTGTCCTCGAATACTCGTCGATTTGCACTGCAACGTTTTACATTACAATGTTTTGAGCATGCATAGTTTTACGATGCCATTAGAATCCGCGCGTACGTCAGCGAGTTGGCTGATGACCCTTGCAAGTAAGAATCACGCAATAACTCTTACTCTGTACTCCACACAGATGTTATTCCTAGATAGGTGTATTCTACCCATATGAATTTTATCTCAATAGTGCTCTCTCGTTCGAACCGTTCGGCGCAGCGAATCTTCTGCGCATTAATAAACTATAACGCCGTTTTTATTGAATAAGATTTAACGTACGACAATGTAGATGAAATGGAATGAGTACCGATACTTATTTTTGAAACGTTTACCGTGTATCGTTTGAAGGATGTTTGACGCGGTGTCGCGTAAATGACCGTTGGAAATGTCGATCGGTTTAGTGTTTCCGATATTCGAAATGCTGGCCGAGTACGACTTTTACAAGAGTACTAGTACAATTGCGTAATATAAAGGAAAAAGTGTCTTTTGAGGCTATAGGGAAGTATTATTACAAGACAGACTTGTATAGCCGGACATTGATAAAAACGAAAGAAGTAAAAGAAAAGAAAAGAAAAGATGTTAGTTTTGTAATCGTTTTTTTAGTCATCTTAGTGCAGCGGAATCCGTTCGAATGGACCGTATATAATATACATACATATGTAGTTCGGTCAGGCCAATCGTTTTGACGCAATTGGCTACGTTTATTCCCCTTTGGCGCGACAATCTGACCAAAAATAAACCTTTCGACTTTTGACTGGATTATCTCAGTCTACCGGGAACGGCCGTTAAAGCATGTGTGATCGTTCGATTTCTCATACACCGACTCCTACTAATTTCCGGTTTCATTGTTACATGTTAATAAAGTTCAGTGAACCCTGTCGCAAATTTTTTGCATAACACTCCGATCCACACACGCCGGGTCACACATCGTCGGATACGCACAGTCTTAATTCGATTTCTCTCTTTGTCTTGACCTTAATCTCTTCCAACAGCATTGGACACGCGGAATTAGCACTGACGATATATTCTCAGCGGCACGGTGACAAACGTGAAAGTTACGCTCATTGCCAGACGATAATAGAGAATACACGCAAACATTACACGTACACCCTGTCGTCGTTGTCTCGGGCCCGTGATCCGATACACCGATCGAATTGTACCGTGATCATTGACCGAAAAATCAGAAAGTACACACACAGAGAGTCACACGAATTTTCAGCAACACCGTAAGGTACGTTTGGTTGCTCTTTTACTCTTAATGCTCTGCGTTTATTGCGGAGTGCACGAACACGAAATTGTTCCTTTCAGTATGAACGCATACGTGTGTAATAAGAGTACACGAAAGAAGATTTTTATAGCGCGATTCTTCGGGTACAATCTGATTTAATCTTTCAGAATGTGTAATTAATCATTTCAATAACTACTAATTATTCAATAATTTTAATCATTTTATTCAATAATAATTTCAGCAATTTCTTTCAATAATAGTTTCAATAATTCTTAATTATTAATTAGGAATTATTCAAATATAGTTATACGAGCGACACGCACTGTCGAATCACAATAGACAACTCACTGAAAGGAACAATCAAACGATTCGACAAAGACGTACCCCGTTCTCCGAATATCTTTTCGGCTCGTTGTACGCATTCTAAACGTGTACATGTATCTGAATGAAAAATCATAACTCGTAGCGTATAGGCAGGTCACAGACTTAATTGAAACGTCGTTCCTCGATTCAGCATAGACGTCCGGTGAAAGTAACGTCATTCCCTGCTTGTCCCTGTATCTATTGTTGATCCGTGAGCAACGGGTTCCGGCCGGTCGATAAGTAAATTTCATTCACCGCGTGCGTTGTTTAACGCGAAACGGTTAGGGGAACGTAAACAAGCCAAACATCTCTACGGACGCGGCATTCGCCGCAGATTACACTTAATATTATATATTGTCGAAAGACGCACGTGACTATTCTCTATTACTTTCATTGGTCGATCGGTTCGATTGTGCCTCGGGGCACAACGAGGCGGTCGATAGGCATCCTCAGAAATTCCACCGGTACGGCACGGTCGAGGAAGCGCCATTGAGGTGTGCAGTGGCGGGTCGGACTGTCTTTGTTCATTCCATTACCGGAAACTGAAACTGTCGGAAGTTGAATTTATGTCGTCCGAAACCGAGCTCGCTCTTGAAAGTGAAATCGAAAGTCCCGCGGAATTGGACGAGATGCAGCTGTTTCAAAAAAAAGGTAAGAGTATCTTTTGCTTCCTAAATGTTGCATCA